CAATGTAAGAATAAGGGATACTTGAACCTTTTCAAATAAGATAAAAGCAAACAATAACAGTGGAAAGACTGGAAAAGTAAGCTCAAGAATTCTTTCATCATGTAAAACCAAAAGAGAAAATTAGCAGAGTGATCCAGGATTGATCCTAGAATATAGCAAAAAAGAACAAAGTAAATGTAGGATAGGAAATTCACAAGAAAACAATCCAGCATTGATAGGTGTGAATTGACTCAAAGTGAAAAAAGACTCGGTTGCCTGGCTGGCTCAGTCGGTTAAGCATCTGACTTCGGCTCAGGTCATGATCTCGAGGTTCCTGAATTCAGGTCACACTTTGGGGGAGCTCGATCCCACTTGTCTCTCTCTCTGTCTCTCTCTGTCTCTCTCTCTGCCCCTCGTAGGATTCTCTTTCTCTCCCTCTCTTTGTACCTTCACTCACTTGTTACCTCTCTCAGAAAACAAAACAAAACAAAAAACAGTATTTAAGACCCATGCCAAGGCACATTATGAAATTTATGAGTGCCAGAGTAGAAGACAAAGATTTTATTTCCATAGAGAGGGAAAACAAAGGTTACACAGAAACCATAATGAAGGATTAGGGAAGAGAGTGACAGAAAAGAGTGTCCGATTTCTCAACAGCAACGTTGAAATCTGGAAGACTATAGAACACATTGTGAAAGAAAATGATTTTCTTTTTTTGTGTGTGTTTATTTTGAGAGGGAGTGCGAGCAGGGTGGAGGGTGTGGGTGGGGTGGGAGAGAGAGAGAATGCTAAGCAGGCTCAGCCCAGAGCCTAACAAGGGGCTCGACACTAAGTGTGAGATCATGACCTGAACTGAAATCAAAAGTCGGACACTTAACTGACTGAACTACTCATGCATTCTGGAAAATGATTTTCAGCATAGAATTCTGTTACCGTTTGTATTTTGAGTTTGCTCTGAGAATAAATACAATTTATTACACTAAAAATTTTATATCTACTTCCTTTCTTGGGAATTTATTGGTAGATATGCTCTACTGTTACATGAGTAAATCAAGAAAAAGAAGTGGCATCCAGGGAGCATGAGGTTGAACAGAAAAGGGATGAATAGAATTCCCCATTTAATAGTGAAAAGAAGTTCTGAGGAAACAGATGTGTATCAGGCCCAGTGAGCAACTAGTCCAGATTGTAGCAGGTGGGATGAGAGATTCAGCAGGGCAGTCCCTGGGGAAAAAAATGGAACTAATGGATTTTGATAGATTTGATCATATAGAAATTTTATTGAATAACTGGAATCTTACCCTTCGGTACAAACTAAGTTGCCATAGGAAAACAGTGGGAAAAGTTGAAGTGAGGAGGGATAAGAAATTCTTACCTCTAGAAAAGCCAAGTTACTATTTTTTTCAAGCTTAGTTATTTTCAGAGAGAGCATGTGTGCGCACAAGCAGGGAAGGGTCGGGGGGGGGGGGGGGGGGGGAGAGAGAGAATCCCAAGCAGGCTCCATACTCAGTGAGAAGCTTGACTCGGGGCTTGATCCCATGACTGTGAAATTATGAACTGAGCTAAAAAATCCAGTCGGTTGCCTAACCCACTGAGCCAGCCAGGCGCCCCTAGGGAAACCAAATTATTGTACAAGAAGGGAAATTTAATACAAAGTTGGCACTGAACAAAAGTTATATAGTAATAAATTGGGGTGATGGGTCAAAGACTCACAATTTTTATTCTGAGTCTATTAATATTTGAACACAGTGTATGTATTAATAATACAAAAGAAAATGTTTCCAGTTCTAGTTCCAAAGCAACTCTTCCTTTAGGAGAAAAATGCCTTTATAGTATTTATATTTTTAAACATGCAAAATCAGAGAACATAGTAAAATGAGCGTCAGTGTACCCACCAGCCAGCTTCACCAGCTTTGAACACATGACCAGCTTTATTTTATTATTCTCTCACACCATACTTTTTATGCCACAAATCCCAGAAATCTGGGAGAAAAAAAGGATAAATTAGTACCCTGTGTTCAGATTTCCCACTTTTTATCATAAATGTCTTTTATGGTTTATTCAAATAGACATCCAAAGTTCACACATTAGGTAGCCCATTATGATTTAAAATTTTCACATCATGGGGTATCTGGCTGGACCTATTGGAGGAGCTTCCGACGACTCTTGATCTCAAGGTCATGAGTTTGAGCCCCACATTGGGTGTAGAGATTACGTTTAAAAAAATTTTTTTTTTAACTTTATTTTTGAAGGAAAAGGAGAGCGTGAGTGGGGGAGGGGCAGAGAGAGAGAGGGAGACACAGAATCAGAAATGGGCTCCAGGCTCTGAGCTGTCAGCGCAGAGCCTGACTCAGGGCTCCAACTCACAAACTGCGAGATCATGACCTGAGCTGAAGTTGGTTGCTTAACCGACTGAGCCCCCCAGGCGCCCTGAGATTACTTTAAATAAATACTTAAAAAAAATTTAAGGGCACCTAGGTGGCTCATTCAGTTAAGCCCTCTCTCCCTCTCTCCCTCTCTCCCTCTTTCCCTGCTCTTCCCCTGCTGTCTTTTGCACATGCACATACATGCCCATGCACTCTATATCTCTCAAAAATAAACTTAAAAAAAATACTTTACATCATACCTAAACACTCATTCTTAAAAACATAATTAAAGTGCCAGCTTGCCCATGAAACTAAGGCTATCATGACGAGTGTCCCTTGAGTACAGTTTTTACATCATTAGTCTGCAAAGTAGGAGATAATATTTTGAGGTATGAGAAGAAATAGCATGCCTAAAAATACTTGCAAAACGTTATTTAATATAAGTTCAAGTTTCTTTTTCTGGGTACACATTTCATGTATATAATAGTGTAATGTTATACATAGGAGTTGTATTAAATCTGGATCCAGTCAGAAAAAAGAAACCACACATTAATTTAAAGAGGGGAGTTTAATATAAAGAATTAGTTATAAGAAATTGGAATAATGAAGGTTGACTAATAGAAAGTTACTGTGAATTCTGAAGAATGTAGGAATAGCACACAGAAGGAGCAACCACCCTAGCACTGAGATAGAGCACCCAAGGAAGAGGACCCAAGGACTGAGATCTAGACCTTGTTGAAAAGGGCACACACTAGGGGCGCCTGGGTGGCTCAGTCGGTTGAGCATCCGGCTTCAGCTCAGGTCATGATCTCACAGTTTGTGGGTTCGAGCCCTGCATCGGGCTCTGTGCTGACAGCTTAGAGCCTGGAGCCTGCTTCAAATTCTGTCTCCCTCTCTCTCTGCTCCTCCCCCGCTCATGCTCTGTCTCCCTCTCTCCTTCAAAAATAAAACATTAAAAAAAAAAAAAATGAAAAGGGCACACACTGTGTCTCGCTGGATGACATAGAAGTTGCCATGGAGCTGTGTTGGCAGAACTTGTTGGAAATCTTTTCTTTTGCATGTGGAGGAAAGCTGTTCAGGGGAGGTTTTCTGGAGGCACTCTGCTACTCAACCCTCTCTAGAGGGAAGCTGCTCTGTGCATTGGGCAATGAAGAAACTGCCCACAGTGGCAGGAACCTGTTGCTAGAGAAGCTCAGAGTACTGCAGGGGGTGTGCTGGTCCAGCGAGCTGGAACTGGGAAGCAAAAGTCTTCTTCCTATAATATTCCTCCAGCAGCCTCCATTGTCAGAGCTTCAGCTGGCAAAATACGTTTTTGTTTTTTGTGGTTTTTTTTTTGAGAGAGAGAGGGCACAAATGGGTGAGGGGCAGAGAGAGGGAGAGAGAGAGAGAATCCCATGAGGGTCAGAGAAAAGGAGGGAGAGAAAGAAGCAGGGCTCCCTTGAAGCGGGGCTTGAGCTCATGAACTGTGAATCAGGACCTGAGCCAGAGTCAGATGCTTAACTGACCGAGCCACCCAGGAGCCCCCAAAAGGACAATAGTTAAAGACCTACATCTATTTTCTCAGAGAAGGCAAAAAGGGTGAGCTCGAGTAAATTGATAACTGGCAGAGTTAAATGCTTTTTTGGCAGTGTTGGGGGCAATTGGTAGTGGTCCACAGTAGTAGAAGTGTTGGAGACCTGGTACTTAATCTGGTCTTTTCAGTGAGTTTATAAACTTTTGAAGGCGTTTAACTGTGAAAGGCCTGTTATTCACAGTAAATTCTTTTTTACTTTTCTGTATATTTACACAGATGTTTGAGAATGAATTGGAAAGTAGTGTCTATATATAGCAAGGATTTTAATTATTTATTAGCTTCTAATTTTTAACTTGTAATCACTTACCTTTTAAAGTTCATCATTATACCTCTTCAGAGAACTAGCATGCCAAGATATTATATAAATTAGATTGTAATGTAAATATGTTCTGCCTGCCTGCCAGCCTTTGCTCTCCTTCACTTTAGCTAGAATAGTTTTCCTCTATTTTAGACTTTTCCTCTGACTCTTTTTCATCTTTCAGCTTTCACTGCTGCTTCCTCTAGGATGCCTTCCTTGACATAGCTAAAGTGGGTTAGGTGCTATTCTGTGTGGGCTAGAATCTGTACTCTCACTGAAAACATCATCTTGTAAAGACCCCCTTATTTATATTACCAGCATTCCCCACATCTACCCCATAGGAGAGTAAGGACTGTCTTGTTCCCTTCTTTAAATACCTAGGGCTTAGTTAATTAGCACAGTGCCTATTACATGGTGTTTTTTTTTTTTTTTAATGTTTATTTATTTATTGAGAGAGGGACAGAGATAGGGAGAGTGCACATGAGCGAGGGAGTAGCAAAAAGAGAGAATCCCAAGCAGGCTCTGAGCTGCCAGCGCAGAGCTCGAAGTGGGGCTCGGTCCCATGAACTGTGAGATCATGTACATGGTGATTATTAAAGAGTGAATAAAATGAGCAGGATGGTACTGTTTACTTGGTTGGCAGTGTAGGACATAATGCCATAATCCAGTACACCTCAAACTACATTTTGATTTTTGTTACAGTTTAGTTTTTCTTATTAAGTTTACAGTATTACTTGTGTAACTATTACAAAACACCTTGAAATACCTGTGTCTTGCTCTCTTTCAGGTTCCTTTTTTGCCAGGAGATTCAGATCTTGATCAACTAACAAGAATATTTGAAACTTTGGGCACACCAACTGAGGAACAGTGGCCTGTAAGCCTTCATACATGTTCTTTAATGTAGTTAGGATTCTATATGTTGTTGTCATGTAGGTATTTCTTAAAGAAATGTATTCACGTCTTAATTTACTAGTAATATATACTCTGCAAAATTTATACCAAGTAGAAAGTTAAAATTGTGGTATGGTATCCAGCCTCCCACGTACATTTTGCCCTTCCTCCATCCCAGGGTTAATCACTGTCAGTTTGGTGGAACGTCTTGCTGTGAAGATACATACATAAACATATACTTACACAATTACACATTTTATCTTTTCTTTAATAAAAATAGGATCATGCCATATAAACTTTTTGCCACCAACTTGATCTTTTTACTTAACGTTTATAACTGACCTTTTTCTTTTTTATTTTGACGTTTTTGTTTTTAATAGCTGCATATTTTATTTTAATGGGTATTCATGTTTGTTCATCAACATCTTGGTGGATTTAGGGTGTATTTGTAGAATTTTCACTAACAGTTAAGATGTCTCAGTATTGTGCATATTTTTAATCCATTATGTTGTCTACAAAAAAGAAATCTTAAGTCGTGAGTAAAATTTACACCAATTTAAGTTGCTAAATTGTATATATATCATAGTTTAGTAAGATAATCTCCCTTGACTATTCTTAAATTAAAACTGTAAACGTTTAGATTTTCCTTCCTGTGATAGCCCCATCTCCTGGGGAATAAATAACTACTACAAAAGATAAATTTTAATCAGACTCTGCCTTCTGGTTAAAACTGATAAAATTATCTGAGGCTGAAATTTAGTGTAAGGAGTTTTTTTTGTGCTGTTACTTCCTCAACTTTCTAATTGAAAGTTTGCTATATGTACTCATTGTAAAACATGCTTTAATAGCTATCATTTATTAAACACATTATATGCCATCATGACAGGCTTTTCATAAATTATATGTCATTTTCCCAACAATCCTATGAAGTAGGTACTGTTAGTCCCAGTTTATTTGAGACAAGTGAGGTTTACTGAGGATAAATAACTTACTTACCCAAGACCACACAGTGTCAGAGCTAGGAGTGCAATGTAGATCTGTCTGACTCCAGAGCCATGTTCATGTTACTCTGTACAGTACTTTTCTCTTAGACATGTTTTCTTTTTTCCCCTCTTAGACATGATTTTTTGTCTTTATTTTTTTTAATTGTTTTAATGTTTATTTATTTTTGAGAGCAAGACAGAGACAGAATGCAAGTAGGGGAGGGACAGAGAGGAAGACGCAGAAGCAGGCTCCAGGCTCTGAGCTGATAGCACAGAGCCCATCGTGGGGCTCGAACTCATGAGCTGTGAGATCAAGACCTCACCTGAAGTGGTTAACACCTGAGCCACCCATGCGCCCCAGACATGATTTGCTAAACAGTAACTGCTTTCCTGATATTTTCCTTAGATTTTTGAAAATTATACTTATTTTGAGATGATTGTAGATTTTAGTTGTAAGAGATAATTGAGATATTCCTTGAACTCTTTACCCAGGTTCGTACAAACTTAGTACAATATCATGACCAGCATGCTGACGTTGATAGGATTAACATACAGGGGCGTCACTACAAAGATCCTTTATGTTGCCCTTTTTTAGCCATACCTACTTTGCTTCCATTCCCACTCCCTCTTTAATCCCTGGCAATCACTAATCTGTTCTCCCTTCTGTAACTTTGTCATTTCCAGAATAGAACTAGAATCGCATACTATGTAACTTTTTAGGTTTGCCTTTTTTCACATTCAGCATAATTCTTTGGAGATTCATCCAGGTTGTATATATCAGTAATTTGTTCATTTTTATTGCTGAATGGTATGTATGTACCACAGTGTGTTTAACCATTCACTCCTTCGTTGTTTCCAGTTGGGGCTGTTAAAAATAAAGCTCCTATAAACGTTATGTGTAGGGTTTTGTTTGTTTTTGTTTTTTGTTTTTTGTGGGTTTTTTTGTATAAAAATAAGCCTTTATTTCTCTAGACTAAATGCTCAGGAGAGCAGTTGCTGACCTCTGTGGTAGCTGTGTAGTTAATTTAAAAACTGCTAATTTGTTTTGCAGACTGGCTGTACCATTTTATATTCTTACCAGCCATAAATGAGTTACCCATTTTCTCTGCATCCTCTCCAGCATTTGGTGTTGTCACTTTTTTATTTCAAGTGTTCTGATGGTTGTGTAGTGACAGTTCATTGTGATTTTAATTATTTCGCTAATAACTGATGGTGTTGGATATGTTTTCATGTGCTTATTGGCCATCTGTATATCTTTAGTTAAATGTCTCTTCATGTTTTTTTTCCCATTTTTTCAATGAATTGTATTTTATGATTTTTCTAAGTAATCTTTGTACCTAACATGGGGCTCGAACTCACCATCCTGAAATCAAGAGTCACATGCTCTACCCACTGAGCCAGCCAGGTCCCCATTTTGTGATTGGATTGTTTGGTTTTTAATTCTGATGAAGTCTATTTTATCTAGTTTGTCCTTTTACAAATCCTTGTTTTGATGTCAAGTTAAGGAACTCTTTGCCTATCTCAAAGATTTTTCGACAAAACTATAAAAAAAGTTAAAACTGTAAATAGTTTTATAGTTTTCCATTTGTCATTTCAGTATGTGATCCTTTTTGAGTTAATTTTTGTATGAGGTGTGAGACTTTGATCAAAGGTCTTTTTTTTTTTTTGGCTTGCATATGGTCCAGTTGCTTTAGCACCATTTGTTGAAAAGCCTATCTTTCCATCGAATTGCTTTGCATTGTTGTCAAAAATCAGTTGGCGTCTGGATAGCTCAGTTGGTTCATAGTCTGACTTTGGCTCAGGTCATGATCTCCCACTTCATGGGTTCAAGTCGGGCTCTGTGCTGACCGCTCAGAGCCTGGAGCCTGCTTCGGATTCTGTGTCTCCCTCTCTCTCTCTGTCCCTCCCCTGCTTACATTGTTTCTCTCTCAAAAATAAACATTAAAAAAAAAAAAAGTCAGTTGGGTAGACTCAGCAGCTGTCTGGGGCACTGGACTCTCCATCCTGGAACCATGGCCTAATTTGTTGGTAACCTGGAGAATGCCCAGGTGCTGGTGGACACTTAAAGCTTGATTGGCCACATTTTGGCAGTATGCCAAGATTGAGCTGGTTCCTCTTCTCCCTGCTTAGATTCCTGGAGTTACTCAGAGCTTGGAAAAAATAGTCAAAAGAGTTCTCAAACAGCCTCACAGTTACGGACGCTCTGCTGAATGTTTTGGTGACCACTGATGTGTGGATATAGTTTTATGTCTTTGAGATCATAGGCAAGCATGGCATTGTTGACTAGAATGTTTAAAGACCAGTCTTTAACATCTGTTTATATTTGGTTTATTATTTGAATAAAATAAGACAATATATCAAAACAATGAGTTGGGCATATTTGTGGGGATCTGTTTCTGGGTTCTGTCTTATGTTCCTTTGATCTATACCTGTCCTTCTGCTTAATGCCACAGTCTTAAAGTAGCTATGCATTAAGTGTTGAAATCAGGTAGATTGATTCCTCCACTTCTGTTGTTTTTCAAACTTGTTATGGCTATTACAGTTCTTTTGCCTTCCCACATACATTTTAGAATAATCTAAAGTGATTTTGTCAGAATTTTGGTAAGTATTCCCTTCAACTCCATATATCATTTTGAGGAGAATTCTCATCCTTACAAAATTGAATCTCCAAATCCATGAATAGGACAGGCCTCATCATTTTTTTTTTTTTAAGATTTTATTTTTAATTAGTTTCTACACCCAACTTGCATCTCGAACTTACAATCTGTTGTAAGATCAATGAGTTGAGCACTCCACCAACTAAACCAGGCAGGCACCTTCAGTTATGTAGCTTTTAGTATAAGTGTCCTGTGTGTTTTGTTAGATTTTCATGTATTTGATTATTCTTTTTGAATTATTCTAAATGGCATTTTAAATTTCATTATCCACATTTGTTACCAGTATATAGAACCACAATCAATTTTTGTGTCTTTATCCTGTATCCTCTAACCTTGCTTTACTCAGTAATTTTAGGAGTTTTTAAGTAGATTTCTTGGAATTTTCTAGATAGATCATTTGACAGTTTTAGTTCTTCATTTGAGATGTATATGACTTTCAGTCCTTAAGTTTGAATTATAAATATTTTTACAGGACATGTGTAGTCTTCCAGATTTCGTGACATTTAAGAGTTTTCCTGGAATCCCGTTACAACACATCTTCATTGCAGCAGGAGACGACTTGTTAGATCTCATACAAGGCTTATTTTTATTTAACCCATGTACTCGAATTACAGCCACACAGGTATTTTAGCATATCTTTCTTATATTAGGAAATATGATAATCTTAACTCTGACACTGATAAAATAGAGTATCATAAGATTTTCTAACATTCTTTAAATACAGTAAAGATGTGTTTTTGTTTTAAGGAGTTATAAGTTTTATCTTGTACCTAAGCTACAAGCCCCATTCAGACTGGTGTTAAACTACATCATGCATACGCAACAAGAGAGTTTACTTTTGCTTAGGAACGTATAAATATGTATTTATTTCATAATTAATTGGCTTTCAAGTAGCTTACCTAGAGAAGAAAAAAATAAGAATGGTTTTGTACTTGTTAAATTAATGATATTTCAATTAATGCCAAGCCTAATGCCAAAAGTGTTCTGGTTTTTTTCCCCCATGAAATGCAGTCTTGGTATGCATGCTGATCGTTGTCATAGTCAGAAAGTGATAATGGGGAGAAAATGGTATAGTTCCTTCTTTTTCTTTCTTAAAGATTTTATTTAATTTTATTTATTTATTTCAGTGTTTATTTATTTATTTTTGAGAGACAGAGCTCGAGCAGGGGAAGGGTAGAGAGAGGGACATAGAGAATCCAAAGCAGGTTCCAGGCTCCAAGCTTTCAGCACAGAGCCCAGTGTGGGCCTTGAACTCACAGACTGTGAGATTATGACCTGAGCCAAGTTAGATGCTTAACCAACTGAGCCACCCAGGCACCCCAGATTTTATTTTATTTTCAAGTTGCTTTATTTTAGAGAGGGAGCAATCAGAATCGGGGGAGGGACAGAGAGAGAGAATCCTAAGCAGGCTTGGTGCTGCCGGTGCGGAGCCCAATGAGGGGCTTGATCCCGCAAACTGTGAGATCCTGAGTTGGACGCTTAACTGACTGAGCCACCCAGTCACCCCTAAAGATTTTAAGTAATCTCTGCACCCAGTGTGGGCTTGAACTAAAAATCCTGAGATCCAAGAGTCACATGCTCTTCTGACTGAGCGAGCCAGGTGCCCTGAAAATAGAAAAAACTGTATGCTTACAAGAGACAGAAAGATAATCTGAATAGAACAGACATCGATACTGACCCTAACTTAAGGGAAATAAGAATCAAACTCAAAAAAATTAGAAGACCAAGAATATCTGCTTTTCCAAAAGAAGGAAGAAATACTGTCCAACACAAAAACAAAAGAACATTAGATTTGAAAGAAAAAAATCCATTGTCTTTGTTTTAAAAACAAGCACAAAACAAAAAAAGGTTAGTGTCCCAAACACTTAAAATTGGGGCAGGGAGGGGTGCCTGGGTGGCTCAGTGGGTTGAGCATCTGATTTCAGCTCAGGTCATGATCTCACAGTTCATGGGTTTGAGCCCCGAGTTGGGCTCTGTGCTGACAGCTCAGAGCCTGGAGCCTGCTTCGGATTCTGTGTCTCCTTTCTGTGCTCCTCCCCTGCTTGGGCTCTGTCTCTTTCTCAAAAATAATTAA